ATCACAAAAAAATAACAGGAAGGTTGAAAAAAAAGACATATACGAGGGTGGATTGATAAGTTTCCGGCCTNACAATTTTATCGTTCGAGTCTCTCATACAGAGACTGTGAGAGATCCATAAAAACACCTGGGCAATAACTGAGAGACTGTGAGAGACGCTCTCAGAGACTGGAGAGAGACTGAAAATGTTTGCCTAGGGAACCCAAAAATTATAATTTTCGATTGTAAATGACTTGTAATAATCTCAATTTTGACATGTTCTTTTATGAATGATTTCAAGTTTCTTAATTACCTATTACAATTTGTAATTTTATTATTTTCGCTTACGAAGCAACGGGCTAGAGGCATAAATTGTAAAAATCGCTTTAATATTTAAGTAAATTTTTCCTTTTCATTTTCTCTGTGTAAGTACCTATTCGACGAATATTAATTCTAAATTTTGCTCAAGGTATTTTTTAAATAAATTGTCCATCACGATATTGTTAATTACGTATACAAACGATGAAGCTCTATTTTCATCAACACTAATTTTCTTAGTTTGATGTCTATTTCTTCAGTTCGAACCTTCTGCTGTTTTTACACGACGTTCATTAGGAACTCGGACATTTTCCCCGGAAAAGGCATTATCGGATGTTTGAATGAAATAAAGAAAAAGAGACAAGTGGACAAAAGAATAAAGAGAAGATTGAACATCATCGGCTTCTTGGGCTTCGGATTTGGCTTTGGCAAATACACATACACACACACACACACAGACATGTATATATAGATATATATTCCCGTACAATGAGTGATGGACAGACAGGTCGTCAGGTGTCGCGCGCGCGGTGTGTCAAGAAGTCATGTAGTCCAGATTGATGATCTTGGTTCGGACTAATTGGCCGCTGAAGTCGCCTGATGGATGGAAAAATAATACGTGAAAATCGAGGTGCTGCTTTTTCTTTACCTGCGCCCGCTACGATTTATGTGCTACGACGACTGCAATGCCGATCATTAATCCAACGAGAAAGAGAGAGAGAGAGAAGGAGAGGTATACAGAATTGGGCGGTGGGATGAAACAAGAGTCCCTGATGCTGCCAAAATATGTCATCGAGCGAGAAAATTAATGAAACAAAGATAAAGAACAACGAAGAAAGAAGGAGAGATTTTGTCAAATTTTTATTAAAATCTTTTAGCATCTCCACTAGAAAATCATTTTAAATTGTTTCAACTAAATTCACAGGCTTCCTTTTAGTCTTAAAATTTTTGAAGATATATGAGTCCACTTTTAAGAATGGAAGCCAAAGGTTCCGAGTTCAATTCCCGGCGGGGGTGTGAGAACAGCAACAAAAGTATTTTTCCTCATTAACCTGAGGAAGTTTGTAGTCGATGGAAAATCGAAAATGAATTTTCACATTAATATAATACAATTTTTGTAATCATCAATGTATGAATTTTATCCACATATTTAAGCAAAAGTTCATCGTGCCACAAAAAGTTGAAGGCTTTGGCCACTTGCGGATTGGAAACCTCTAATAATTAATTTTTGCCAAAGCCCGGGAAAATAAGCAACGATGATAATAATATTATTCAAGCCAAGTCATTAATTGCTCCGGAACATTTCGGTCCTGTCAAGTTCCGACCATTCAAGCACATACACACATGCGGCGGCCAATTGCAAAGAACAAAACAGAAGAAGAAGAAGAGATGCGAGAGATGGTCGTCGATGTTACGTAGTTGTTTGGGTCGCTATTCCATCGACGTTTAATTAAAATCGGGATGAAGAACAGTCGATAGTATCTCTTCTTCTCCTCCTTCTCCCGATGGCCGCTGATTTACGAGGCGGCTCCTCTCGCCAAATACGGGATTTAATTATAAGTACCGCGGGGCCGTCCGTCCGTCCGTCCGTACGTCTGTCCGTCCGTCCGTTCGTTCGTTGAGTCCGCTTGCCGCTTGCTGCTCAACAACATAACGACGAACGAACGATACTATGACCGAAGGAACGATTGGCCGTTTTCCATCACAAACCGACTGACCGACCGATTGTGTCCGGGAGCCACTTTGGGGTTGAAAATGCACTGCACCTCATTAAGAAGGTTGACACGCTGTCACAAGTTTAGTTGGTACAATAACTGTGTATTTCTTAAACGTTAAGTTTTTTCACCTGAAATTAACGCTAGATACTAAAACTAAAACATCGATGGAATTCATTCTTGCAGCTTTCCCCACTTCCATTTTAATACTAACGACTGAAAGGTGCAATAGTCTTTTTTTTTTAGTGTTAAGTCACCGCTTGGTTTGTTTTGTCGCAAAATTTCAAGTTTATTAAGAAAATGATTTAAGAGGTATGGTCCTTCGAGCCGGATGCATTGCCTGATACGAGCCCTTACAAGGCTAACCCCATCCGAAAAAGGTATATCAATTAAGTAAATTAACAAAATATTGAGCGTACATTCCTTATTCGTTCAAAACGATATCTGTTAATGTTTTAAAATATCATCGATTCTCAAATTCGATGCAGACGTACGCAGGTGCATTTGTTCGGTAAAGTGTTGTAATGGTGGAGAGCGCGATTAAAGCCTTTGCTGAAACTGATACGCGAGCTGATTGGATGCTGGTAGAAAATTTATGGTTCGGTAAAGAAGCCGAGGTCCATATTCGACAGGCATGCAAAATTCGTAGACGCAAAGATGTCCTTGCAAAATCGCATTTTACCGCGCGAACCCATCAGAAAGGATTAAAACACATTCCTTATTAATAACGACGATTTTTTTTCTCAACTACATAATTTACTTGATGACAGAGGCGTCGGAACTTCCAGAAAAAAACCATATTGACATTAAGTCACAACTAAAAGAGTTTGAACCGTTTCGCGTTTGTCCGAACGAACAACAAACACAAGACATGAGAAAGCCTTTTCGAAATTTACGAAAAACATCTTGAGTGCCGTCGCAAAAAAAAAATATTGAAACACATACGTACTGCGAGAGTGCTGTTGAATTACGTGACCATTTCGCTATTTCAACTGATAATATTTTTCGGTATCTATTATTAATTTTGTACATTTGATAGCAGTGAGACGGTCGGATTCATACGTGGTCAAAAAAAAGTTCTGGACACGGGTCTGGTTCGTGCTTTGGTTGTGATCACATTATGACAAAAACGATTCGTTTTGTGATTTCAACCATAAAACATTGTTAAAAGATTATGAGATTTTATATGTAAAATTAGGCAATCATCGAAGATTAAGCGTGAGCGTGTATCAATCAATGTCAGTATCAGTATCGGAAAAGTGGCTGATTTTCAGTATCTAGGAAGTTGGAAAAAGATTGTATGACTGGAGTGCGATTCTGTACGATTGCGAAACGTGGACGGTGCGTGCGGCGAAAAAAAAGGGTTAGAAGCGTTCAAAATATGGTGTAAACAGGCGAATATTTATAGAGATATATTAGGAGCAGAAATAGGAGTTAAAAGGAGTAGAGATAAATTAGATTACTAATTACAAATAGTTATGGATCTGGGATGTTTTAGTTTTAGGGAAATGCTAAGTTCAGCCCAGGATAGGAAAGAGTGGAGGTGCGTGTCCAACCAGTCTTAGGACTGACGACCTTATGATAATGATGATATTTTTTCATGATTCCCATCTGTTCTCTAAAACAATCCATGAGGATTACAAAGACAAAAGAAAAACAAAAAGGACTCTGCCCTGCAATTCACTATGTCTACGCCGCCCTGGGTGAGAGTGTCTGTTTATTATAATACTTCAAAGTTTGCATGCCGATTAATGTTAGGAAAGCAATTTAACTGGCAAGCAGCTTAATGACTTGTGCGAATTGTTTTTACAAAATGAAATTGCATCTGTCATCTGAGACCCCGGCGTAAAGGCTTTTGTTGTAATACTGATAGTCGGAGAATGAGAGAAAGAGAGACAGAAGAGGAAAAAAAGACAGAGAAGAACGTGGGGGGTTTCCCGCCTGTTCACGACTAAAAGGCTTCGAGGGTTGTGGTGGTTACGTACCAAGTGTTGGCTGTCGTGGGGATTATGTTTGTAATTAGCCCCATCTGCTGGTGGGCCAAGACGGGGTGCCGTAATGTGAACGAAGTCTTGTCACACATGAGTCCTTCTCTTTTCGTTATTATTACACAACAATGGAAGGTATTGCTCGTACCAAATTTTAAATTAAATAGACGGATTGCGTTTAATCCCTATTCTAAACGAAATAACTAATTTAGAAAAGACGAACAAAACTCACTGGCTATAAGAATCTACGCGCTCTTGTCAAGCAGAAATCATGTACAATTAATTAAAAATAATTCTAATATGAGTAAACCAGAATCACCCATATTAATAAAACTATCCTTAAAAATATGAAGAGGAGCTTTTAACGTTTTCAGTATGAAATAAAAACCTTACTTGTACAATCTTTTTTTTATTTTTTACAAAATTGTAACCGCTGCATCATTCGCTTTGATGTCCTAAGTCAAAGATCATCGACGACTACATAAAACTAATTTTTTTCTCTCCCTCAGTTTTCTTTTCTTAATGAAAGGTACCCTATGTTCTTTACTGTAGTTTTGACAATGTGTGTACATAATTTTATGATGCTCTGTTCAGTAGTTAAGGTGTGAAATGGTAGTTCATTATGAAAATAATTTAAGAGGTATGGTCCTTCGAGCCGGATGCACTACCTGATAGGAGCCCTTACAAGGCTACCCCCGTCCGAAAAAGATATTAATTAAGTAAATTAACAAAATATTGAGCGTACATTCCTTATTCACTCAAAATAATATCTGTAAATGTTTTAAAATATCTCGATTCTCAAATTCGATGCAGATGTACGCATGATAATGTGTGTACAAAATTTCATGATGATCTGTTCAGTAGTTAAGGCGTGAATTGCTAGCAAACAAACAAAAGCATATTTGCATTTATAATATTAGTTAAAAAGTTAAGATAAATCGGATAGGCTTAGCTAAAAACATTTGGCACATTGTCAAAATAATAAGTGTCAAAAAAGCCACCGATGCCCGATGACTTTTAAATACGTAATGATCCTGATACTTTGTTTTTTTGTCATACTTCTCATTTACGAAATGAAATGGTATTTATCCTTAGATTTTTAAAAAGGATTATCTTCTAAAATTTCAATTTTTCAGGGACGAACCTTCACAACTGACCAAACTAAAGAGTTCCACAAGGACTTCTGATAGTTCAGGATTACATAATAATTATTCAATAGTAATAATAATACAAGTCCACGATAGAGTCCAATATTTGAACAATCTGATCGATAGTTTATCTAAAGTGTTATCAATATCTACAGCCCTTTTGGTACTATCCCATGACGTAGTTCAAGAGGACATAAACAATATTGTTAGAAACATAACATTTTGTAAGGTCATACAAATATTTTTCCCCTATTCTATCCAGAACTATCCCGATAAATTTCCTGGAAACGATCCGAATGATTGTCCTCGAGATATGCTCAAAATTGAAGCGATGAAAAGAAATTGCAATGGGGCTCGCTTTCCCGATAAATACAATCATTATCGCGATCCTAAATTAAACCAAATCAAACACCATTGGTGGTGGAAGGCAAACTACGTGTTTGATAAGCTAGATGTGACCCAAAATCATACAGGACTCTTTCTATTTTTGGAGGAGGATTTCTACGTACTTCCTGACCTTATTAACGTGGCAAAGCTGATGGGCAACGCGTGCAAAAGGTACAACGACTGCGGTGGAATCATTTTAGGCGAAAATTTAAGATTTATATGTCACAGAAAAGAACTGCGTGCTCATCTACAGTACAAAAAAATCAATTCTGTTGGATTTGCTATTTACAGAAGAACCTGGGAAGCTATAAGGAAATGTTACAGGTATTTTTGTACGTTCGACGATTACAATTGGGACTTTAGTTTGTTGTACGCGTTAAAGATGTGCCTGAAAAGCGATGTAGCTTTCTTGACCAATTCTTGTTCGCCGAGAGTGATACACATTGGCTCGTGTGGTGTCCATTATGACAAGAATAGAACACAGGATTGTGAACGAGGTTTGCGAAACGTCGAAATGGCGAATCATATTTTGATGAGAAATCTTAATCCCAAAAAAATAAACGTTACAGTACAATATAAAAAATCGAAACCTAGAAAGGAGTCTGGCGGTTGGGGAGATCCAAGAGACCACAACTTATGTTTATCTATGGTTAATCGAAATGTATAAAACTGATAAAGTAATATTTTTCTTGTCTTAAAGAGATGTGTTTTTAACATCATTAAGTTAACAATGACTACAAACAATAATTAGCACTAAATACTTGTCTGTTAGCTACGATGAGTTTTACTTGAACTATTTCTTATCATTTATAAAGGTATTTGGGATATAAATCATTATCAAATTCTTTTTGTATAATCTGTGTATTGTGTTAGTTAAAAAACCTTGGTTATATAACGTGTCTGTAGATGTAATCTCTGTTTTAATATATTTTAATATTAAAGCTGTCATAACTCAAAGCAGTAGTATTTTTGAAAGTTTTATGGAAAAATTATACGATTGAGTATTAAATTTTACAATAGGTACTATTTCCACGACTGCGGACCTGTCTCGTTAATGTGTGATCAAACATTTCAAAAAAACGTACCACTTTAGATAAGACGATTAGCTATGTGTCTAGTAATGTGCGTAAAGTGACTCATTGACGATTATAAAATCAACGAGTTACCATCTAGGTATAATCCTTAACCGTTATTTTCTTATCATCTTAATTAGGTTCTCATGTTTTTTGATAAAAGATACGGTGGGAGATATGTTACGAAAAGACTCTCCACTCAGTTATATGTATAAGATTAGATTTTCCTAATAAAAGTTATTACGATAATGATTTGTCCTTAGGTATGTTGTTGAAAATCAGTGCCATCGTTTTGCTGATAAGTTAACGTTGCCGTATTTATTATTCGTCCGCGACATGTTTAGCTATAAATTAAAGACTATTATGAAATTTAAATTTATAGTAAAATTCTTATTTCTGTTGTGTTTGTTTACGACCGTTATTCTTTATTTTTCTGAAAGGTAAATAAGTAATTATCATCAGGAGATACATGATATTTTTAAAGGAATCGTTCTCTGTGTTGTATTAGGAAAATGGTCTATTTGACGAGTGTTGCCTCGACGACTACATCAACGAGTGAATTTGGTGATAATCAGGAAAATTTTGAAGCGTCTGAATCATCCATGTATTCGGTGATTATACTCGTTCAAGTGCACGACAGGATTCAATATTTGCGTGAACTTATATACAGTTTATCGAAAGTGTCTGGGATATCGTCGGCCCTTCTGGTTTTTTCGCACGACCTAATAGACGAAGAAATAAACAATCTAATCCGTAACGTAACATTTTGTGATGTTTTACAGATATATTTCCCCTACTCGATTCAGAATTTTCCCGACCAATTTCCCGGGGACGATCCCAACGATTGTCCTCGAAATATAGAAAAAACCGAGGCAATTGAAAAGAATTGCACCAGCGCTCAATTTCCCGATAAATTCAATCACTATCGGGAATCAAGGCTATGTCAGATAAAACACCATTGGTGGTGGAAAGCCAATTATGTGATTGATTCGTTGGAAGTGACCCGAAATCATACGGGGTTGTTTCTATTTTTGGAAGAAGACTTCTATGTCTTACCAGATCTTATTTACGTTATGAAAAAAATGGACGGCGCCTGTAGAAATCATAAAGATTGTGGCGGATTGGTTATGGGATACAGGGAGCAAGCTAGGTGCCCTGCCAATGAACTTCGGACGGTGCTTCAAAGGAGAATGGGTACCATAGGGTTCGCCATTTACAGAAAGACGTGGGAGTTGTTCAAAAATTGTTCCGAAAATTTTTGCACTTTTGACGAGTACAACTGGGACCTTAGTATTTTCCATGTTATGAAAACGTGCTTAAAGGATCAAGTGACTTTACTGTTTTCGGCCTGTTCGCCGAGGGTATTGCATTTGGGCGTTTGCGGAGTTCATAAGAAAACAAAAAACTGCGAAAACTCTTTTAATGTTTTGAAAAAGTTTTACAGGGAAATGGTGTACAATCATAACCCTGAGAAAATAAGTGTAACAGAGCTTGTCGGTTTAGTGAGAATACCAGGCGGTAATGGCGGCTGGGCCGACCCTAGAGATCACGAACTATGCATGTCAATGGTCAACAAGGACATGGGATAAATCGAAGGAAAACTTACAATTGGATTATGGTCTGAATTTGGCTTAGAATTCTTTAGTTTGTGTTAAACTGATAATAGTAAACATGTCTTTAGATGATTGAAGAGTTGAAAAAGTTAATAATATTTATTATACTTACTTAAGAAATGTTTATTAACATTATAACATAGGTATATATTCTTATTGTAGACAATCTTTTACCTGTTTATTTAAACATTATTTGCCTAAAGGGAATAAATAGCAATTAAATGATGTTCGTTGGTAAGTACATCACTAATTAAGAACGACTGAACGATTTGGCTAACTCTTTTTGAAAATGTTGGCAGGTACTAGATCGAATAAGGTTTTTAGGGAAAAACAATTTTAAGTATTGGGAAGGATTACTTGTTTTTGATGAGTTTTATACTGCCGAACATAACAGAAATCTTACAAACAATCTACACTGTTGTGTAATGATTTACTAACTTGACTTTATATTTTTTAGATAACATCTTATCTAATAAGTTGAAGCGGCAACCTTTTTTTTGTTTGGATGATTATTTTTTCTCTTTCATTTTAATCTTTTGTTCTACTCTAGATAATGGTTCAATACTGTTGAGAACAATTAAAAATTTGTTAGTGAAACTTATTACATGTTTTCTTTTATAAAAATAATTTTCTTTTATTTATTTCGATATTATTAACCTTTAAGCAAAGGTAAAGATAGAAGATGAAAAATTAGAAGAAGTGGCTGATTTTCGATATATAGGAAGTCAGATAGAAACCAGACGATAGCGCAAGGTCGAGTCTCCAATAAAAAGAAGTCACTTCTATGCTCAAAAATGGTTAATTTAATGAAACATTGGGAACAGAGAAGGTTAAGAAATAAGGAGGTATTAGAATTAGTGTCCGACCGAAAGTTCGGTTTCGGTTTCGGTCGAGTTTCGGCAAAAAACGAGTTTTGGTTTAGTTTCGGTTTCGACGGAAAACATGCCGAAACTACGACCGAAACCGAAACTGCGTTCGCGAGTTCTCGCGCTCTGCTCGGTCATGTTCGGCGCGTTAAATTCCATCCAAGCCAAGTATACCTACTATACTTACTCAAATAAACATCTCACTTATTTTAAGTATTTATAAGGCGCATTTAAAGTATTTCCTTAAATGAGGGGTTGTTATGTTGATTTTGATTTCATTATCAATAAGTGAAAATGTCAAAGACTGCAGAGCTGTGTGATTTAAAGATAAAAAAATAAAACTGACTGATTATAATAACGTTTTCTTTATTTTTCTCTCAAAACATGATCCTTATAAGGAAGTTTCGGTTTCGGTTTCGGTTTCGGCCGAAACTGAGACCGTTGCCGAAATTCGGTTTCGGTCGTAAAAACCAGCTTCGGTCGGACACTAATTAGAATGAATAGGAGAGCAGAGGACTCTATGGAAATCAATAGGAAATATGCGAGGTAATAGATTGGTAGAATAGAGGTGCGCGTCCAACCAGTCTTAAGACTGATGACGAAGCAACAAAAATTCATTTGACGCAAAAATTAAATAAAAATCCCTTCATAAATCTAATTCCCTAAGTATGTAGTTACAGGAAAATGTTCCGATAGGTTTTGTAACGCTGGTGGAAAATCGAATTTGTTAGTGGACATCTACTTACTGTTTGTAAAGAGGAAGAGAGAGCTAACAATGTAGTTTCGATTAGTCTATCTATCTGATGAACATATTCAATAAGAATCATTTTAAAAAACATCAAAAATTCACCTGTTAGTAGCAACCGACAGTCCTAAATCTGCCATTAAAAATATTTTGAGTAGGTAGAGCTTCTAGAATGCATATGTTAGATGTTTGTTACATTTTTTTTTTCAAAATTTGTAATTAATATTTGTCGAATAGCCTAGGAAACTTCGTACCTTTCGGGCGTCTCACGAAACCGCGCAGCATGTAAATTGCGACGGAACAAAATTTTCGCAGCAGGTACCTACTCATTAAGTACAGACTTACAGACGGAACCAACTCACAAAAGGTATTTTAAATTGCAAACCAAGTAGCTGTAGGGACGGACAGGACTTCTAGCGATGGCAGACGACAATGCGAAGTAAAGAACAAAAGAACAAACGAGAGTGCGAAGAGTGATAGGGCAAATTAATATTTCAGCATACCGCATATCTGCGTGGTAATCCGAAGATAGCTAACGAAGTGATAATGATTTATGGTGGACTCTGGTCGGACTAATGAGCTGTGTGTTATCCGTAAAACAGTCTCTCTTAAAGCCTTGTCGTTCCTTTATTAAGTACTAACTACACCTGGAGGCATGTGTCTTTAATATACCTATACACACGTACGTATGCATGTATGCATGTGTATAAATGGTCCGAGATTCTTTTTGAATAAAAAACTAGAGGACAAGTTGTTAAAAAATCGCGATTCGGAAGCCGTCTACGGGGTGTTCCGTGTTAACAAAAATTTGTACGTCTGTTATATAATTGAATAATTAATTAATAGACATAAGTTTGCGTTATGACAGACGATTGTAAGTGATTTTCAGTATAATTTACGGGAGACTAGGTTTTACAAGCCGTTTTGTTCGCGGTAATCTTTTAAGAATCCAAAGATCATCGACGACCGCATAAAACTAATTTTTCTATCTCTTGGGAACAGTGTTTTATTTCTGAATAAATGGTACCCTATGTTCCTTTTAGTACCCCTGACAATGTGTGTACAAAATTTCATGATGTTTGATTAAGTAGTTAAGGCGTGAAAACGTAACAAACAACCGAACTAAAATTCGCAGTTATATTAGTTAGAATTATTCTTTTTATTTAGTTCTCGTCACTTACTTAACAAATTAAGCAAGAACTGTAGTTGCCTGAGGTCCTATTTTGTCTTTCAAATTAACCAGTTGCATTTTCTTAATTATTTGAATCGAATTGACAACCTCCTTTCGTTACGCAAACAAAATTTTATAAATGAAGAAAAATTTTAATCGTTGACAAGATAAGTGTTATTATTATTAGTGTAGGTACATCTGCCTCTTATTAGTAGATGAAAAAGTAGTAATTTATTGGGCATGCCGGTTTTATGACTTTCTGATTCGTTTTTAAATTCGAACGGGATTTATTCGTGTGAAGATAAGTATAACAAATAGCCGGTAGTTGTTAATGGGTGACAAACAATTCCAATTAGAGCCCGTCCAGTTGTAAGTTGAATACACAGAAACGAAGTTAATGTATGTGTTAAAAAAAAAGGCAGCCGAGAGAACACCTGTATCGAAGTCTTTAAATGGTCAGATTAATTTGTATCCGACTTATTATAAGGCTACTTTCCGAATTTGCTGCTGTCTTATTTTTCAAAAGTTTAACTATTACACATATTTCGAAACAACAAAGCACATTGTTACTAACATAGAAAAGAGTATTAAAAAATTATTTTGCAGAGTTACTTGGTTTTGTAAATTCAATTGAACCCTGTATGAAAGAAACTCCCAAATTAATTCAAATAATATTATAACTATTCGATTCAGAATTTTCTCGACAAATTTCCCGAAACAATTTTAAAGCTTGTCCTAGAAATTTACGGAAAACTGATGATATGAAAAAGAATTACAATAGCACTCAATTTCGCGATAAATACGACCATGATCGAGAATCAAACACCTTTGGTAGTGGAAAGACAATTAATATGTGACCAACTCATTAGAAGTGCCCCAAAATCACACGGGATTGTTTGTATTCGTGGATTATAATACAGGACTGTCAGGCTGTATATTGATTTAAGTATTTAGTATTAACTTCAACTCCATACTACTAGTCGTTTTTAAGAAAAATGATCCTAATGACAGGACAAGAAATTTTCTCCTAACGATATACACGGGTCGTGTCGCCTTTAATAAAAAGAAGTCACTTCTATGCTCGCGAACGGTTAATTTAGAAATTCGAAAGAGGTTGTTAAAGGTGTATTTTTGAAGCACGGCGTTGTACGGGTGCGAAACATGGACAGTGGGGGCGGCGAAAAACAAAAGGTTAAAAGCTTTCGAAATGTGGTGTTATAGGCGAATGATGAGGATACCGTGGATAGAGAAGGTTAGAAATGAACAGGTATTAGAAAGAATAGGAGCACAGAGGACTCTGGAAGTCAATAAAAAATAGGCGAGATGGCTTGGTAGGACACCTTCTCAGGCATGAAGGTCTAGTCAGAGACATATTATAGGCAGAAACAGGAGTTAGGAGGGGTAGATGTAGACCTAGGTTAGATTACTGTTCGCAAATAGTTAAGGATGTGGGTTGTTCTAATTTTAGGGAAACGCGAAGTTTAGCTCAGGATAGGAAAGACACGTACCTCCAGTGTCCAACCAGTCTTAGGACTGACGACCTTGTGATGATGATGATGATGATATATTCACTCTTAAATCTACAATGTAAGCACATTTCATGTCTTTATTTTTTCTTCTTCCGCTTTGTAACACGATTTCAGTGGTCTGGGACAAAATTAATGTCCTAGAACAAGTAATTTTCACTTTATTGTTTCCTTTTATTTTTATCTAGTACTTTCACAGGAAAAGTTCAACACGTTATTAAATTGTAATGATTCTCTCTATGACAAATTAGTAAAAGGAAATGCCAACACATTGTGAGAATCTCATACGTAGTTGTTGTAAGCAACAAAGTCATAATTATTCCTTTGAAAGCATTTTACTAATATTAGATTTTTGATCGTAAAGGTTGTATTTATTAGAAGAAAACTTTCTTCTAATATATCTACGAGTAACATATGGCTTTCATATTTTGCATAAAAGAGACATAACGGCTAGGTATTCCGATTTTTAACCTTTCAAGCGTATTTGGGGGGGGGGGACCCCACGGCAATTAATAATTCTTTTGGCGGTGCATTCGGTAGTCATTTAACACTCTGTATACATAATTGTTTAATAAAGTATGCATCGGCTACATTAAATTTATAACCGGTTGCAATAATTGCATAGGGTCTTGATGCGGACTCTGATGCTGAGAACCTTTAGTGGTTTAGTTGATTAGTATTTTATCTTCAAATAATAATCCATTGATGTGAATAAAGACTTAATTAAAATCGTTATTGTGCATACGCGCAGGGATACTGTGGAATATAATCGATGACCAGAGATTGAAGCTTCGGTCATTTTCTCATTTTCTTTTCTTTCTTTCTTTCGCTGAACCCAGTCATGCACGAACGTATGATTTAAAGGGCAGACACGCCCGTAGTGGAGAAAGAAACGTTTCAAACGCTATATACGAGGGT